CCTGAGTCAGATTCCTGGCAGATCATCATCCATTATCCCTTCTCTTCTCCTTTGCCCTGGCTCTTTTTCTCTCTCTTCGTGTCCGTCCGTCTGTCTGTCTGTCTTTTTCGATGTTGGATTCAGAAGCGGACCGGCTGACCTCATTGGGATCAGTGTGTGTGGAATCCCGGGCTCCACGTGAGACAGAGGAGTCGAGGAAAATGATGCGAACAAGGAGAGGAAAGAGGCTGTTGTGCCATATAGAGTTCCTTCATTTGTCTTCCCTCGATGACTTCGCGAAAAAGAACACCCTGATCGAGGCTGACCTCTTGATCCCCTTCATTAATGGCATCATGTAGGACCAGACGGCCAATCAGGATGAGCATTCAATTAAATCGCAAATAATGCTTAATTAATGCCGACACTCATCGAACCAGAACAGTGTAATAATGGCCTGAGTCAGCAAGTTCCCTGGCCTCCTACCTTTCCCGCCTCTCCCGTCCGCCCTTTTGATGGTTGAGAAATATCTGCCTCGATTTCCATACGTCACAGTTGATTCCATACGAGGGAGGGGAGAGGAAGCGTAATCTCCGAAGGATTTCTAATTGGCTCTGTCGGTGGCCGTGATGGAAATTCCTGATCAAAGATTTTTTGCAGATTCATCCTCTCATTCCCATTCTCTTTCCCATAATTCTCCCCGGCTTCGTTTCGACGAGGGGAACGATATGGTAGTGAAATGATGATGGGGGTTTATCACAGCCCCGAATCTCCCGTCATGTCGAAATAGGTGAAAGGGGTTTTTATGGGGATGTTCCCACAGGGAGACGGAGGGGGGACAGTGTCAGTTGAGGGAATAAACGAGGGAAGGGAGAGAACAGAAGAACCATGGCAATGGCAAGGACCCCATGCCGGCTTTTCTATCTGTAGCCAGGTTGAACATTTTCCCATGATTTCCCTTTGACATGTAGTCAGCCGTAAGGTAAAACCCCGTCGGGGTGTCTCTCTCCCCCTCAATCGTCCAAAATTCCTCTACATCCCCCCATATTATGTTTATGCTCCGACGTTGTTTTCTCTTCGCGACATCCATATTTGATTGAAGCTCTTCTATTATAAATGGAATTTCATGCAGGTTTTTCGAGTGCATCATATGCGAAGATCCCCAGTGTATCGTATAGTCTCATAAACAGGAGGAGTTTTAATATGGAATGATTAAAAATTCGATTTTACCATACTATTGTGTTTTGGGGGAAAGAGGAGGAAACCAGGCTTTTCAGCATCGACTCGGAGAAATCCCCCTCGGGCCAGGCAAAAACATTTACAGGCGATGCGAGGAGCCTATTGTATAGCGCGATACAATAGCACCTATTAGGCATCTGCATGAAGCATCTCTCTCATGCAGACTGGTGATGACGCCATGGCATGAAGAGGCAGAAGGTGAAAACAGCAAGAATCGGTGCAGTTGGTGGTGCCAGATTTCGTTGGTTCGAATCGATGCCCCGTCGATCCGCGAATGAATAGTGGTTGGACCTCGGGTCAGAGGTCACCGAGCTTCATCTCAGTCGATCTTCTTACGCCGACCCCCCATGAGAGAATGCAACACAGATCAGTCTCACTCTCTACCCTGATTCGATGTTTTGTGTCACCTGGTGAACTGCATAATTGGGGGAAACCTATAAATAGAGTCTTGGGGTGACAGGATATTCATGAAAAGGCGCCGCCACATTATTAACGGGATACCCCCTCGAGGGTTTTTGAGGACAGAAAGTGGAGAAAAAGACCATTCTCCCCCTCGATCTACCTGTGACCTGGACCCGCCGGCTATTTAACCCCCTCGGAGAAGTAACCTCCGATTTGACTGAAAAGGAAGAAAAGAGAAACCAGAAGAAAAGAGGAAAAGGGGGGAAAAAAGCAGATGGGCCGTTGGAAGAGTCACGTGTGGATGATAGTATCAGAAGCGAAGGGAAGGGAGTCGAATTGATGACCGGCATGGTGGAAGCTCAGCTCGTTACACGAAGAATAAGAAAAGCATCGGCTTCCTTCCTGTTAATTCTGTCGTAATTGCATCAGTTCAGGCGGCGTGGAGAATTCTGTTTTTGAAAAACCTCGCAATGGAGGCTGAGGCATCTTTTGAGAGTTAATGAAGCGATGGAGAAATCTCTCTCTCCCTCCCTCCCTCTCTCTCTCTCTCTCTCTCTCCCTCCCTCCCTCCCTCCCTCCCTCTCTCTCTCTCTCTCTCTCTC